TGTTAAGCAATGCATTAACAGCCACACTGGTAATACTGTATCTATTACTCCACAGTTGCAGAGATCTTGTTAATAAATCATCGTCATCATCTTGTTCATGATGTTCAATATCATCACATAAAAATTCATCGTTATGATGGATGTCATTGAAAACAAATCTTCTGAGAATATCTTCAACTAAATTTTGCTCAATATCAACATGCTGAATAGGAACATGTGGCAAATCGGGCCGCAAATCCTCAAACAGGAAGTCAGGATTGACGTGAACAGGGGACAAGGGAGCGGGCAGATCGGCAGGTACATCCCTATCATCAGGAAGCTCAGTTCCAAGTTGAATATGTGCTCGAGGATTTTCAATATGGATTTCATTATTGATAGCTTCCTCTTGTGAAGCATTAAGAATTTCTTGGAGTTGATCTCGAGCAGCAGATGCTGCCTGATGCTTTATGTAGCTCGTTTTAAGAATCTTCTTTGGAGGCATGGTTACTTAATAAACAAAAAATTATTCTTTAAGTATGTAATTACAAAAAAAAGTCACTTAAGATTTGAAATTAAATTAAAGAAAGTACTACAAGGAAATAATATAAACTAATGTCGTATAACAATGTCTACTGTATATGGAGAATAAATAAAAATCTTTTTTTATATATATAAAACATACAAAAATATAAAATAAATCTATATTATTATTAAGAAAGAATAAATATCTAAATATTAAAAAAGATTTTTATTTATTTCAACTTATACCAGTCTTTGGTAGTCAATAAATCAAGAGAATCAAGAGAAGGTACACGGTAGTATCTCGTAACAAGTAATACTTACGGAAGAATTCATGAGTAACCACGTCCGAACACGTCAACAATTTCGCTGTTTTGATTATTATTATTAGCTAGTTAGTATATTAGCTAATCTATAACGTAGCACCATGCAGGTTCCTGTTCCCACTTATGTTGTCAGGGATGACACAACTAGGTAGCAAAATTAAATCTTGGAATAAAAAAAAAACAGAATTAGAAAAAAACAAATAAATGCATATAATAAATATATTTGTAGAAATACATGAACTCTGTATCGTAACCTCTGGGTGCGTTCCGAATTTGCACATCAAAACGCAGAGCACTATTTATATTCTTCTTAAATGTTCGATGAACATCAAAGACAAATAATATATATACGCTATGCGTCTGATGCGCAATTCGGAACGGACTCTCTGTAAAAAATGCTTGCATATATTACAAGCTGGGGTAATGATACGGCTCATGTACTTTTACAAACGTACATATATATAAGAAACTAGTATATATAAATAAATATATAAGAAAAAATGTAATACTTACAGGAGTATCCACGTCCGAAGACGACGACGACTTTGATGACTAGTCCAGACAATATTTGGTTCAAACTCCCTTGATCAGGGGCTGTACGACCATTACTCAAAATATATGCGTTTATTCCTCTTCTTTTTACTCGTATATATTAACCCACTACCACACGGATGATATAAATTAGGTCGTCAATTTTTACAAAATTCTATACCGGACGAAACACAAATAATACGCTATGCGTCTGATGCGCAATTCGGAACGGATGACTCTCTGTAAAAAATGCTTGCATATATTACAAGCAGGGGTAAATTATACGACTCATGTATTTTTACACGCGTACAAATATATATGAGAAACTACTTACAGAGTATCCACGTCCGAAGACGACGACGACCTTGACAGTGACGGATTTACCTATACGCTAACTACGCTGAAGCGTAGGGCGGCAGATTTTTGGAAGCGGTAAATTTTTGGGCGAGATTGTAATTTTTCTTTCCAAATTTGGTGAGCACGTGGAAGTGGTAGGGGTCTGTTAATAATTCTCCATTCCGCGGGATCGTCACTCACCGAGCCTAAACCTAAGCCACTTACGTCTTCTGTAGTCAATGACAGTGCAATCTCTTGTTTTTGTAACTGATATAGTACTTGTTCTGATGTAGTGCTCGAACCTTGGCTCGAAGTACTACAAATTTCACTTCCGGTTGTATTTTGTACCTGGCCCTCGAGAATGGACTTGTTAATATTATTTTCATCACCCTGAGTGATTGGGATGATTGGACGGAAAAACGTATGTAGCGTCTTCGTCTTTTCCAACAACTCTTCTTTCTTTCTTTTCTCTTTTGCAATCTTCTTATATTGATATCCACTTAGCCTTTTTCGACCATCACTCATTTTAATGCAGTACTGACTCGGTCTGTAAATAAAACTAGAATAACTGTTATTTTACTTAAATGCGGTAAAATAACGCACTCCGCTCTTCCTGAGAGTTTACGACTGACAAAAACAATGCCCGATCACCGACAATCGACAGTCTAATTTCTAGTTTTATTTACAGACCGAGTCGGTACGGGTACAGCATTAAAATAAGCGACGGTCGAAAAAGACTAAGAGAATATATCAATATAAGAAGATTGGAAAAGAGAAAAGAAAGAAAGAAGACGAGCTGTTGGAAAAGACGAAAACGCTACATACGTTTTTCCGTCCAATTACTCAGGGTGATGAAAATAATATTGTTTAATAATGAAACAGTTAAAAAAATTAGTAACTAAGAACGATTTTTTTCAAAAAGCGCGTTTTATCGACAATTTCCGAATAGAGAAAATCAGCTGCGGAAATATTTGATTTATTCTCCTATAAAAAAGACTTTGTTTTGTGTATCGTGCGTGTGCCGATTATTTAGTGGAACTTCTCATCTGGCGACAGAAGGTTTTCGAGACTGGAGTAACGTGAACAAAGTATAAATTGATAATTAAAATTAATCTAAAATCAAGTTTGAGGGGCGGCAAAATTTCGAATGCGTAGAGCGTCAAGTTTGTAATCCGCCACTGGACCTTGATGACTAGTTCAGACAATATTGGTTCAAGCTCTTTTGATCAGGGGTTATACGACCATTACTCAAAATATATGCTTTTATTCCTCTTCTTTTTACTCGTATATTAACCCACTACCACACGGATGATATATTACATCGTCAATTTTCACAAAATTCTATACCGAACGAAACACGTCTTGACGCGTTTGCACACAGATCGAGACTACGCCGCGGGCCTTGATCGAATAATAACCTCGACGCGACTGATGAACACGCACGCACGTACAGACATGTTTACGATTCGCGACTTTGAAAATGACAATCGGACGCAGGCGTTGTGGGCGTGAGTCCGACCCCCCTCCCCCGCCTCTCTCCGTACTCGCGAGTAATGCCGTGTGCACACATATGCATCCCGCACTTGCCACGCTCGAGATACATTACGACGCGGTAGCCAATTACCTATTCTTTCGCTTATACGAAAAAGCGATAAATTAACTGGCTACTGCGTCACGTTTCGCCGTGCGCCAATCGTTGTCATTATGCAAAAGCCG